TTCCCTTTCCCTTTTATGTTTTTTTGGCGACGGCTGAACATTCTCTGAAAAAAAAACTATCATTTGAGATCGCTTCCCCAACAATATGTAGTTACCAACAAGCCCGCTACTGGAATCACACAAAATGATTCGGTTTTCCTTTCACTGCTGCTGACTAGTGACCTTCCTGCATCGGCCCGAAATATTACCAGCGACCAAGCTGAACTACCACAGCCTTATTTGTCAAAATGAACACGTTGTCCACCATTTCTGGCTTCCATGAGCTGTTTTTGCCTAAATATTAAAGGTTGTATGACAATCGTTAGGCGTGAACATTATGCTATGGAGCATGCATAGGTCTGAATATTGCTTCCTTCGACTACCAGAAGAACAACATTGAATTTGGATTAAAAACGGAAAGCCTGCTCTTTTATTTAGTAATTTTCTGTTCAAGACCCCTGAAACTTCTTTCGTAATACATTTATGTAAGTGAAATCCATATTAAATTCTTTCGATAACATGACAACTCCAGTTTGCGCGATAATTCGGTCCTGCGCCTTCTCTGACATCGCGATCCATTTGTATTTAGTAGTCGCTTTCCACGTCTAGCTTTCGACCTGGTTTGAACCATATACAGACGTGGGTTTAAAGTCAAATTTTTGAATATCAACTAAAAATTTCCAAAACAACTTGACTTGGTCAGGCAGATACCAGGAAGCATACTTTTAAAATGTTCCTTTTCCTCCCTTTGTAGGTTGGCTACAAACCAGCAGGCGGACTTAAGACCTGGAAGGACGCACTTGCCTTTATTTCGCTTGTACACGGCTACCTTGGCGAGGATTGGGTGAACCACGACTACTTCCGGATCGGTGCTAGCTCTCTGTTAGGTAGCGTCGAGTCGCGGATATTTAGTGTCCTACACGGCGGTCGGGCACCCTTACCTGGCGAACTGGCTTTCATGTAGTTCGGTCCACTTCCCGCCTCGTCTACCTGCTCTAGTCACAAGCTCTTATATGGTTTTTACTGTAGATATTCTACAGCAGACTTTGTGGCTTCATTTGTAGTTTTGTCTCTGCATTTTTATTTTATGATTAATATTGTCGAAATGAGTGTTTGTAGCTCTTTTTCTGAATGACTCAGCGCGATCAACTTATAATTTAAACTGATGGACTACAGGCGATTTCTAAAACAGAAAACTGAATGCACGCTGATATACCATTTTCCGGTGAGGATGACATTTTATAAGCGTTGGCGTTTTCGCCGTCCCACACGTACGAAGTCGAAATGGAAGATATTTTATACCAAAATTAGGAAATGAACCTTCAATAAAGTGTTACTTTAGAACATTATGGGCTTTCTGTTTCTAAAACGCTGCCGGTCGTTTTTAGTTATGGTTGTCTGGAAAACAACAAGGCGGCTGAACCACCGCAATAGTTGAAAACCACCAGTGGTCTGAGTTTGTGTATACCGGTGCAGCATCTACTTCGGCTATACTCTCCTCTTAAGAGCAAGTCAAGAAGACGCGAGCTTGGCGTGGTCCTATTGATTGAGCATATTGATGTATAATACAGATCTACCGATCCTAATCGGCTCAAATCAAATATCAGACAAGGGGACTTTCGGGTTCTGCACAGAGGAAAGTGTCATGGATGTCAGGAAGCCATTTCTTCCAGACCACGTCTCCTCAGTTTAAAAGTGCATTGGGTATTTTTTTATAATGAAGAAACTGGGCCTAACTATTTCGTACAAGTGGCCAGTCCGGGTCAGGTTAAAACTTTCTTCTCATTTTCGGTTTCTGCCGTCCTTGCAATAGCCCACGCCTGCCAATATCATCTTGTTGAGATATCCGCCGGGCTATTCGTGTCAAAAAATGAAGGGGAAACCTGCTCGCTATTGTTAGTTAGTCTTCTACGCTCATTAGAGACGTCCTAGTGGGCTTGCCATGTGAACCGGTTGATTGATATTTCGTACACAAGTGGACCCTATCCAGCAACTGGCTTGGTGTGCAAGAGGGAGTATTCATCTGCCACGCCTTCTGTAGCTGCTTCATCTGAGGAGGTTATAGTGTGTGCGAATACCTAGTGACCCTAGTTTGCTCCAACGAGACCTCAGGGAACTGCCGATTTTGCACGAAGGAACGTGTAATGAATGCCAGGGAGCCATTCCCCCTAGACCATGTCTCGTCAGTTAGTGGCCGATAGAATCACGACCGTGTACCAATCGGGATAGTGTAAAAGTGC